CAAAGAAGGGCTGGAAGCAGCGGGTTTCTCCAGGCGGGGCTGTGCGGGCCTGGCGGGAGGGTTTCGGCCTGGCTGGGTGGCAGCGGCTGAGGGAGGCCGCCCCGGGAGCGGGGGTGGTCGGTGCTATCGACCTGAGGCTGCAGCGGTTCCTCAAGGTGCCTGGGCAAAAAAAACCTCCACTCCTGAAGGGTTTTACCCTCGTCTGTGCCATCGGGGTTTTTTATCTCCTGGGGAAACACGCGCTGGCGAGGGGGAGCAGCGTTCTGGAGGATTAACACCCCGCTGGCAGAAACTAACGAGTTTACCTAACAAGTAACTACCCGAATCTGTACATGGTTTCTGCTGCAAAATGAAAGGCGTGCCTTATATGAAGAAAAGGAGCCAGGCAGCTGTTTTAAGTCAGCATCAGTTAGGTGAGCTCTGACAACACACACTGCCTGTTGAGACTGTCTGGGTCCCTCGGCCTCCCGTTTGTCAGGGCTGGTGGTGAAGTCAGAGCTGGGCGAATGCATCTTTGTATGGGGGATAGTGCAGTTCCCCCAAGCAGCCTGGGTGGCTCAGGGCCTGGGAAAGAAGAAATGTTCTCTTGTTTTGCACTTGGTAACTTTGCTGAAATTCACAGACCAGTGAATTGCAAACTAGTGTTAAGAGGGGTTGTGACAGCGGGTTCTAAAATGCTAGAGCTGGAAGGCTTTCAGCTCGTGGGAAGAGTGAGAGTCATCACACACCTGTGGAAAAGGCCTTATTTCATAGAATCGTAGAATTGTCTAGGTTGGAAGGGACCTTAAAGATCATCTAGTCCAACCATCAACCTAACTTTGATAAAAACCATCACTAAACCATGTCTCTAAGCACTACATCAACCCATCTTTTAAATACCTCCAGTGATGGTTCCTCAGCCACTTCCCTGGGTGGCCCATTCCAATGCTTAATTACCCTTTCAATGTAAAAATTTTTCCTATTATCCAATCTGAACCTTCCCTGATGCAACTTGAGACCATTTCCTCTTGTCCTATCTCCTGTGACCTGGGAGAAGAGACTGACCCCCGCCTCTCTACACCCTCCTTTCAGGTAGTTGTAGAGGGCAATAAGGTCTCCCCTCAGCCTCCTTTTCTCCAGGCTGAATAACCCCAGCTCCCTCAGCCTCACTTCATAAGACTTACTCTCCAGACCCCTCACCAGCTTTGTTGCCCTTCTCTGGACCTGCTTCAGCACCTCAATGTCTTTTTTGTGGTAAGGGGCCCAAAACTGGACACAGTACTCGAGGTGAGGCCTCACCAGTGCCGAGTACAGGGGGACGATCACCTCCCGAGTCCTGCTCACCCCAGGCAGTAATTCCTGCAGGAAGCATCGCGTTTGATGGGTTGTCAGTAGATCATCAGTGAGGAAAACATGCCAGAGTTCTTTTGCTATCTGTGCAAGTTGTGTCCTTCAGTTACGGTATCTTCAAAGGCACAGAAATATTTATGAGCCATTTCAAATGCAAGATGGAGATTATTCACTTCTATGCACTGAATAGAATGAATATAGTCTCAGATGTGATGCAGAAAGCATAATTTGGTAAGTGTAGCAAAAATTGCACTATATTTTGAGCTCTTACTGATGGCTTTTCCTTCAGTGCTCTGCATGCAAGATGTATATATATATTAAAAAAAAGGGAGGTGGTATATCAGGAGCATGCTCTTCTAATGTTTTCAGAGTTAAACCCCAAATGTTGGGGATAAGATGACAGCAAAAATGACATTACCAATGTTATTTGAGATAACGTCATTAACTGGACAAAGTTAATTTGATAATTGCTGCTTGTTTAAATGATGATACCTCAGAAGAAGGTAGGAACCAAATGATCATACCTCAGGAAGGTGGTAGAGAAAGGTAGGAATGTTTGTTGCTTTAGTAAAAGGCAGGGAACAAACAGAGAATAGGAATAGGAGCCCAGGAGCATGGAGTTTATTGTCTGATCCAAAATATACCTGTGTCAGTATTGTATGTAATGATGAGAGCAAAATGAACCATTAAGAAGTCAAGACTTTCAGGGGCATTTTTAAGCAGGAAGAAGTCAGCATTTACTGGATTATATCTTGCCTTGCCAATAGTCATTCTCACTTTTTCTAATGCTAGCTTAACTAAAACAATGCTTTACTTCAGCTATTCTGGTGACTAGGATAATTTTTTGCAGTTACTAGGCTTAGTAAAAGTAGAGGCTAATGTTACTATTTAAAACATATTAAAAATGTTTTCTGGTGTGGTGGCAACAGTGGGAATTATTTTGTAAGTTTTCCCAGTGCAGATGTAGTCTCTGATTGCTCCTATGCTGTGGCTTATTCTCTGCAGTGACTCTGTTGCTTGAGCCTGTCTATTGCTATTTTCACTTGAATTCCAAGCAGATTTTTTATGCTTTGTTTATTTTCTCCCTTCATAGATTCTGTTGGGTTTTCCCCCCCCCCCCCTTTCTGTTCTGCTTTCTTCAGTCTACAGGCGCTACATTTCATATGCTCTTTGCATTTGTTGGTGATACAGAGCAGTGCTGGCTGTACTGTGGAAAGTGGTGCTGTGTAGTGAAAAGGCCTGGGAAGGCAAAAAAGGACAGGCAATCTTTGATGGGGAGAGAACGGGTCATCTGGCAGCTGCTTGTTGGCTTTGCAGGAGAATGGAGATAAACCTGCACATCCTGGTGTGACCTTTCCCCTGTGCAGGCTGGAAATCCCAATCCCTAATCTCCCTGTGCTTTTGCTTTTAAATTAAATAGTCCTAGCCTCTTGAGTCTCTCCTTAATGTTGGCCAACCTCAAATCGCTACCTCTGATCGCTTTCACTGGCATGCTCTGAACTGTTGGTGTTCCTCCCTTGAGAAGAGGTGAAAACACTACACTACACCAAGATCTGTTCTGTGGTGCCTTGAGGTCACATTGTTGTAAATACAGTTTTCTAGGCACTGAAATGTCACATCCTGGATATAAATACAGATTTTTCAGACTGTGAACTACTTGTAAGGGCACTTCTGGCAAGTTAAGGAGATTTCCTTTGGGTAGAAGACAGATGGGAAGATGTGGATACTCGTCCCATATCTATTTTTAAAATAGTAGCAGGTTAAGAGAATCTTTCATAGGCTCAGGATGAAGTTTTTCAATATCCATAGTTAAATTATTTTTAGAATATAATGACAGTGTATGTTTAAGTATTCTTGATGATTAGAGTCTTCTTGTGAGGAAAAATGATACAATGTTTAAATGCTGTTTAACTCCAGTATCTCAGTGTGTTGTGGTTGACTTTTTTTTTCCCTTTTCTTCTATTTTCTCCCTGTAATAAATTCCTGCAAATGGAATGCACGAAAAAAATTTCCACCTTCACTCACTTGAATTTGACTTGGTAAGAGCTTTGCCTACTGCTCAAGTTGTACACAGACAATCATTATAGAGATCACTTGGGTTTTCATCAGATTTTAAACAGGGGGAAAAATGGTGCCCTTAGCTAGGAGATTCCTTCAGTAATTCTCTTAAATGACCAAGGTGTCGGGAGGGTAAAGTTTTAAGTTTTTTTGAAATGCCTAAGCAGTCCCTGAGCAAAGAAGTTTACCTTGTGCTTCATTATTGATGTTTGAGTGATTGAAGTGCTTGAATATTGGAGATGCTAAGTCATGTTACTCTGTTTTGCCTTCTGAGTGATTTGTTGTGTACCTGTAGGTCAGGCTAAGACTCAAATCAATCTGGGTTTTAGGAAGGTCAAGGAAGGTGAGGCTTACAGGTACCTTATTCTGCTTCAGCCCTGATTCACCTTTTGTTTTATTAGTAGGGGCAGTTGTAAATATCTCTAGGGACGTGTTATAAAGCTGCATTAAGCTAGCATTAGCTTCTTAACGTATTAGTATTTAGCGTCTTGTAGTATTAGTGTCTCAAAGGTGATGAAAGTACTGCCCTTAAAATATATGCAATATACAGAGTAATATAAGCACTGTATCTGCTTGCTGTGATCAACCAAAATACTAAAGCATCTTCTAATTTCTAAAATCGAGAAAGCTCATGCTGCCAGAATATTCTGAGAAAAGCAAAGTCACATTATCACTGATCTCTATTTCCATGTCCAAATTTCCACAGACTTGCCTTTGGCCTTTTTATTTCTAGCCACCTTAAAATATCTTTCTAGGGGCCATAAATTTCATATAGCACTTTGCATGTGTTTTTCAAGTTAGACTCTCAACTGTTGTTCTTCATCACTCTCCTACAGTTTGCCTCAGTGTCCATTAAACATTATGGTCAGTGTTCTCCCCTCTACAGTACCCGTGGCACTGAGTGTATTTGTCTTGCGTGCAGGGAGTATTCTGGGTGGGGACATGGTGGAATCCCATGCTTGTGGATATCAGGAGTGAGGTGTGCCTGGCACACACTTGGTATTGCCTGCACTTTTGCCTGTTAGGTATATGACACTCACTACTTAGCCTTAATTTCTGGAGGGATTATCATATAGTCTCCATTTGTAAAGCCTGGTTTCCTCAGGGCCATGGACTAAATATTAGTGATGTGGTCCCACTGGCTGCAGTGGAGTTACCCAGGAGAAGCTCCAGCGTGGTCTGTGTGAAGGGCCATACAGCAAAGCCTTTCAAGCCTTCAGTGCTTCAAGCCTTCATGACGTATGTCATGAATTATTAGTCTGACTGAAAAAACTCAAAAAGGTGCTCTGCCTGTAACATCCCTTTAGAAATCGAGGGTTTCTGACTTTGCAGGAGTGAGAAGTGGCAAGTGGGCTCGCAATGGTCCACAGAACTTACCAGGGATTCAGTGGCAGTTTCTCTTTTACTAGCCACCTTTCCATCCTTAATAGGAAAAAGAGGAAGCAAGCCAGCTGCTTTATGTGGTGCTGCTTTCTGAGGAATGTTAGTTTTTGTCCTGCACCAGCTGGTTAGTGGGCATGGTGTGGATGCCACAGCCCTGGTGTGAATCTCTGGCCTAGAGCTGTGGGAGGGTGTGAATGCACAAGTATTGTTGGTGAGTTCTGATATCATACATATACATAGAAGGGAAATAGAAAACTGTCACTTTTGATGTAGGTGAAACTTCACAGTAGTAGGTAATAGACGTTTTCAGATCCTGCAAATAACGCATGTGGTGTTTAAAGAGTAAAGTACACAGTCATTTCTTCAAAATGGCAGGTCTTCAAGTGGCCTGGGGCTTTTTAGAGAATGGGGTCAGTGTGCAGGAAGACTTAGATAAATAGTCTGGTCATGCTGGTAGGGTGTCTGTTCCACAGAAGCATCAGTTGTGAGTTGCTTTACCTTTTAGGGGCTATGCATTTCTTCATTAGGTAGGCTATTCTTAACGCTCATCTATGGAGAACAGTCCCATCTAAACGGCTGATGCTTGCTTTGTGTCCCCCAAAGTGCTGTTCTCCTCCTTTTTGTTAGTTAAATTACTATTCCCCAGCAGTGGTTCAGTCTGCACTTCATACAGGACTTGATACTCAGTTGTCTCTGCTGCCACTTCCTCAAGTGGGAATCTAAGGGTAAGGTTGATTCTCTTTCCAAGAAGTTGTGCTTAATTCCTGCATAGTTTCCTTTAAAATAGTGCTTTGGAAGGAACACACTTTCTCAGTAACTTAAAAAGAACAGTTTTCTAGTCGGGATGAAATCTCTAAGACAGGAAGGTTAAAACTCTTTGTGTGCTGCTGGGTGGTAAGAAACTAACTAAACAATACTAAATTCACATTATCTTTAATACAGAGTAACTTTACTGAACTTTATCAGAACTAGGCAATCTACTCACAACCAAAGTTTTGTCTCTGAGTGTTGCTTATTGTCAGCTGATAACAGTTGAGTCCAGACTTCTATGTCTCAATTACTTTATATTCTTGTGCAGTTCCACTCTAAAGGCTTATTCATTACTGCAGTGATAGTATTATCTAGCTTAATATTGTGGACATGGGGAATATTACCAGATTATGGGGAACAGTATAAGATTTTATGGAAAAATAAAACATACAGTCAAATAATAAATTATATTGAGGATAAATAGCAAACTCCAAAAATTTTTCCTGGACTTCACCAATGGTTGGTTGTCCCATAAATAGGTAGGTTTGTGCTAGAGTTTACTGGGATTCAAACTGTGCATGGACTTTGGCAGTGGATTTAGGCAGTAGTATAAACCCTGCCTTTATGTAGTCTGCAAATGGTAGAGAGACACGAGAGATCAAGTCTGATTCAAAGCAGGTGATGTTTCTCTGTTTTAAATAATATTTTCTCAGACTGTTTTTAAGTTAGGTAAAAGTCTTTTGTCATTCATACAAAATTATTACTGTCTTTGAGTCAGCATTATTCTGTATATTTCTCAAAAGGTATTTGATACTATTATAGTGTCTAATCTGATGCCTTCAGATAGATTGTTTTGGTCTGATTGTAGAATGGCGTAGAGGAACTTAATGTTATAAAACTGTGGCAGGGGAGCGGATATGGTATCCCACAGGATTCAATTTTTGTGGTGTGCTTATGGGAAATTACATCCTCATTCATGTTATGAAAATCTAACATTCAGTTTAAATCATTGCTGGAGCCAAAAGCAGTTCCACTATTCCTTCCCACATCCTGCAGTGAGTTGCACCACAGCAAAAAACTATAGTTAGCTTTACTTTGGATTCCCTGCAAACTCAAGAAGAGTGAAGCTGAAAAGGGTCTGCAGATGGGAAGGACAGAAGGAAGAATGGGCCTGTCGCTTCTAGCAGAAGTGGTGTCTTACTCCCACTGGAAGAAATGTGGCATAGATTAATACCTTAAAACAGCAGTGACATCTCGTGTGATGTGGTGGCTTGCCCATGTTTGTACCTTGCGGGGTTGGGGGCGGGTTAGCTTTGCCATACAGGTTGATGATTCTTGTTGATTGAATCTATGTTGCGATATATCATTAGAGAATCAGAGTAGGTGGATGACATTTGAAAAAGTGGCATTTTTAGTTTATAAAAAGTATTGGACACACATTTGGAATGGGTCTTGTTAAACCTCTCTAGGCAGCTATACACCATTAGGCAGAATGCAAAATAGAGATAAAATTTACCTGATCTCTGTGAAAGCCAGATATAAACTCCAGTGTTCTTTGTCTTCTGGTTCTTTATCTTAACAACAATACTGCCCTTTTCCCCTGATTTAGGCTATACAAGCTGTATCTTGTTGATTCACATTTTGCTGTCTGTGTTCCTTTTAAGACTAGCTTACCTCATTTTTCATTATGAAGTAAGTGTGAAAAAATGTATAATAGTTATTTTCTTTGTTGTCCTAGCATTGATATGTTAATGCCTTCTGATAAAGAAAAGGACCCGGATGTTATTCCTGAAGATAGCAGTCTTCTGACTCTCCGGTATGTTGTCACATTTGGTATGTTGTCACAGTACTCTGATCTGGGATGGGGTGGAAAACAAGCACAAAAGCCTAGCTGGCTGCTTGTGCCCTTTCCAGGCAGTAGTGCGCTTTCTGAAGCAGTGTCCTGAAATACTCTCAGGGCAGAAACACCAGTTTATGATAGGATAATTGGTATAAGCCTTCTGCTTGAATGTTACTTAGGAGGTTTTTTATTGAGGTACACAGAATCTGCCATCTTTCTTATTGGATGAGTTTAGGATTTCTGGACCTAGGTACTTTTGAACTAGCGCCTAAATTTGGACCACGCAGGGTACTTCTCCTAATCGTGTGTGTGAGGTTTCTCCAAAGCCTTGTGAAATAAGTCTGTATCTCTTACCTCTAGTAACCCACAGTCACATTGAACCAGCCAAAGTGTGCAGGGTACTTCTAATCGTGTGTGTGAGGTTTCTCCAAAGCCTTGTGAAATAAGTCTGTATCTCTTACCTCTAGTAACCCACAGTCACATTGAACCAGCCAAAGTGTAAGTGCTGAAGTTGTAGCCATGTACCTCTTTATCTGAACCCACTCTATAGAATTCTGTAAAGATACTGCTAGTGCGTATCTATAAAGATACTACCTGTGGATTTCAGAGGCTGGGCAATGTGTTAAGTTTCTATCAGTGAACTTTGAACTCGTAGTTGATTGGTTGGTTTGGGGCTTTGCTGTACTTGAATTTCAGTTTGCGTAATTTCAGTCTTAACACAAGAAACGTGTTAAGGTTGTGATCAGTGTTAAGTCTAATTGTTGCTGAAAAGCTTCAGGAAGGTCTGGAGGGTAAATTGACTTTTCCCAGAAGTTAAAAAAGATTTCGTGTTCTTGCAGTGGTTAAATACATCTATTCTAGTAGGTATTCTATGTTTGATAATCTTCCTTCATCAAATGATACTGAAGTTGTTTTTGGAGAAGTCTGTGGTCATGGGGTTGAGAATATTTGGGGGTTTTCTTGTTTCTGTTTTTCTTGAATATGAATTGAGTTTCTCTGAAGTGGGAGGGATAGTCGAAACAGGTTCCTCAAAGTTACCAAAGCGTTCTGACTAGGAGAACCTCTTCAGACAATATGTAATTTTCATGTTAGGGGAAAGAAAAATACAGTCTGAAATCCACAAGCCCGCCTGTGTACTACCAAGTCGGGAGACAAGATTATTGTAAGTTTGTCATGCTAAGACAGCCAGAAACCCTGCTCTTTGAAAGCTGCACTATAGTAGCCCGTCTTGTTTAAAAATACACCTGGGGATTCTCTGTGGAAGTTGTTGAATGAAATTTTGTCCTGTGTTCCTGCCCCGCAGAATTAGAAAGAAGGCATTAGAGAGGAGAGAAGAAACAATCGTTGTGGATCGGGCTTGCAGACAAGAAACTCTTGCCTATGAGATGGTAAGTTCCCTGTCGTTTTGTAGGATCTCAAGAGAGTTCAGTGCAGCCAAAATCCACCTTCTGGTTGCCTTTTTAATCACTGTGAATCTGTGTGCACTTTAAACGTTTGCAGGTATGAGTTTGCAGGTAATGATTAAGGACATTTTATGGAAAGATAGGACAGGAACTCTGCTCTTACAGTCTGTTACTGCCGGATGTAGTAAGAAGGAGCTCCAGCTCGTTACCACTTTCATTTGGCTGCTACTAAAGCATTGTGTAGGTAATCAAGCTTACTGAGCATCATGTGAACATACTGCAGACCTAGACAAAATGCATAATGTTTTTTCTCCTGAAGTCCTGTTGTGGACTCTAAGCTTTAGCGTAGACTGTGAGCTAGTTTCTGCATGGCTTAAAGAGGAAGACAGTAGGAGCATAGTGTCAGTAAGTTCCTAATCTGAGCTTTGTAACCCAAGTTTCTCAGCCATTCTGAGCTGTCAGGAGCCTGGAGTATAGTGATCAGTCCCTCAAAAGACATCTTGGAATTCCTTTAACTGTGCTTAGTATCTCTTTTTTAAGTTTTCCTGTTTAGGACTTTAATAGTTGTGAAGAAATCTTAAAGTTTATGAATTCTGCAGTGCTGGAGTCTGTGGCTTGAACAAGCAACCCATGAACTACTGTAAAAATTAGGGACAGAGGTGTAGTGAGGAAGAAGCCTCACTTGTGACTAAAAAACATTCTTTCCTGGTCTGTTGAGAGTGATCTTGTTTCAACTGTCCAGAGGCTCAGGCAGATGATATAAAGAGCACATATCAATTGAGATAGAACAACCGTGCTGGGGTCTTAGCCTACGGTATAGCAGAGAAAATATTTGCAGTAGAAATCTTCATAAAGGGTTTTGATGAATGGCGTCTTATTTCTGTTTCTGAAGAACGACCACACGGTCAGTTTTGCATCCTTTAAGCAAGCTGTGATAGCTGTTTTTCGTGTCAGAGCTGTAGGACCACAGTGTCCTGCAACAGGATGAGCGCAATAAGAAACATGAGCTTGAAATGTGTTGTGTGAAGAAGGGAGGTGCAAGGGACAGAGCACAAGTATCTCTGAACTGAAGCGTCACAAAAGTACACGCTTGTGTTATTAAATCTGAAGAACACTTGGTGCTGGTGGGAAGTGTTTGTGCTGCAATATTCTGTCTTGATTTGCTGACAAAAGAGGAAATTGACTGCCACAGAAAAGTGTCCTCCTTCATTCTCACAGCTGAGCGATGTCTTAAACACAAAATAGGAAGGAAATGTGGAAATGCTTTCTTTTCTTTTCCGAAACATAGTAGTGGGGCAAGAGCCGTATTGGATTTTGGTTTTGGGTTTTGGAGAAATTGAGACCTCGGCTATGTCAAGCTTCCCTAGTGAGAAGAAGTGTTGTGCTAATCTTGATTTTCATATACTTCTCCCTATGACTGGTTTCTAGGTCAGTCATTCTCAAATTGAGCGTTGCAATCCTCCTTGACCTGTGAAAGCATTCAAAGAGCATTTCAAGGCATTAAGTGGTGGAAGTTGGTAGCAGCTGGGTTCCATGAGGGCAGAGTGGCAGCAGGCTTTAATTCCTTTACGCAGGGCCTCTCAGTAGCCAAGGAGTAGCCAACTATCTCATACTTACTGAAAGCACCTCAGCTTCTCCAGAGCTGAGGAATGAAGGAAAATGCTTGAAATCCGTAATTCCAGCAGTTTCTCACCTTTCCATCGTGGAGGAAGTAGGCTGTTATCAATTCAGAAAGCTACACAGTCAAAAATGAGTTACAGTTAGAACAGTGGTTCTCAGACTTTTATCCAGGTGCTATGATACATAAGTGATTGCCAATATAATAAATATATATATATATATGTATCTTTATTTTTCTAGGAGTCACATGCAATTGGAAAGAGGCCTGAAAATCCAACAGATCTAGTTGAGGAGGGAGAACTACTTTTGACTCTGAACATCTTCTATCCTGTCATATTTCAGAAGGTCGGTACTAAATTCTCTAGGTTGTATTCTGATGTCTCTTTCCTACTCACATAATAATCTTGCTCAGTTAAAATCAGTGAGTCCACTGAGGGAGTGTGGTAAACCTTTCAACTGTGGTAACTTCTTAAGGTTTTTTCAAAATGTGACTTCTATTCTGTTAGTGGTTTACAAAAGGAAATTTTTACAATAATTACTCAGCAGTTAATTGATTTCACAATAAGCTCAAAATCTGAAACTAAATACATGAAAACTAAAGTACTTTTTCTGGATTTGGGATGTGTGCTCAGACTTTCTGTCTTTCCTGCACTTTCCAGTGGGAAATGTGACTTTTGATTGTTTAAGTAAAACTAATAAATGGTGGTTAGGAGAGGCTGAGGCAAGATGCTGTTAAAAATCTGTTACAGGGAGGTGATGTGCCATATTCTGCCATTAATGACCTCAAGCTGTCAACTGAAGAGCGGTACGATGCTGACAAGTGATTTTTATTTGAAGCTTGTATGCTGTTTTCTTCATAGCACAAAGATCACAAACCGTATCAGACAGTCCTTGTCTTGGGCAGCCAGAAGCTTACTGAGCTGAGAGACTCGATTTCCTGCGTCAGTGACCTCCAGATAGGTGGTGAGTTCAGCAGTCAGCCAGATCAAGCACCAGAGCACATCAGCAAGGTAAAATCTTCTATGTGGGACCCTATACATGTGTAGGAGCTTTGAAAACATACAGAAGAGAGGGAGACAGAGTTCTGTTTTGTTGTTTTTTCTTCAGCACTAAATTCAGCTGCATAGGTTCTGCCTGTGGGTTGCATTGCCGGTAAATACTTCCCGGTGGCATAACTAAGCTGACCTGTTTTGTGTGGTGTCATGAAACACATAATTCATGGCAAGGCTGCAAAGTAGTAACAATAGCAGTGAGTTCTCGCATGGTTGTATCCCTGTAGACTAACTACTTTGAGAAACACCAGAAGTAACGGAAAGCTAAGTGTAGACCATCCCCTTTGGAATTTAAATGCTTTGGTGTTTGCAGCTGATCCGAAGTAGGAATGAAGATTATTCCTCTCTCCCACAATTGCCAGGTGTTCTCTGGGGATTTGCAAAAAGGGTCAATAAAGTACTCTAATTGAAAATACTGAAACTGCATTGTTTTGATACTATATTATATCACATATAAGATATATATCATATCACAGACTGGGTGAGGTTGGAGGGAGGACCTCTGGAGGTCAGCTATTCCAACCCCCCTTGCTCAAGCAAGCCACCTACAGCCAATTGTCCAAGACTGTGTCCAAATAGCTTTTGGATATCTCCAAGGCTAGAGATTCCACAACCTCCCTGGGCAGTCTGTGCCAGTGCTTGGTCACCCTCACAATGAAAAGTGTTTCCTGATGTTCAGAGGGAACCTCCTGTGTGTTGCTTGTGCGCATTGCCTTTTGTCCTGTCACTGAGCACCGCTGAAGACAGCCTGGCTCCATCACCTTTGCATCCTTCCTAGAAGTATTTGTATATGTTAGTAAGTTCCCCCCTGAAGCTTTTCCTTTCCAGGCTGACCAGTCACAGCTCTCTCAGCCTCTCTTCATAGGAGAGATGCTCCAGTCCTTTGTCTTCACAGCTGCTGTGGAACTCTTTCCAGTATGTCCATGTCTGTCTTGTACTGAGGAGCCCGGAACTGGACATAGGACTCCAGGTGCAGCCTCACTAATGCTGGGTAGAAGGGAAGAATCACCTCCCTCAACCAGCTGGCAATACTTTGCCTAATGCAGCACAGGATGTCATTTGCCTTCTTTGCTGCAAGGGCGCATTGCTGGCTGATGGTCAACTTGGTGTCCACCAGGACCCCCACCTCCTTTTCTGCCAGGCTGTTTTCTAGCTGAGCCCCCCCCGGCATTTATTGGTGTATGTGGTTGTTCCTCCCCAGGTGCAGGACCTTCTCTTTGTTGAACTTCATGAAGTTCTTGTTCGCCCAGTTTCAGCCTGTCGAGGTCCTTCTGGGTGTTAGCACAATTATCTGGTATATCAGCCACTTGTCCCAGTTTGTGTCAGCAGCAAACCTGGTGAGGGTACTCTGCCTCATCATCTAGATCATTAATGAAGATGTTAAACAGAACTGGACTGTGTATTGACCTCTGGAGTACTCTGCTCATTACTGGCCTCCAACTAGACTTTGTTCCACTGACTATCACCCTTAAGGCCCAGCTGTTCTGCCAATATTATATATTGATAATTTATATTATCAATATAATAGAAATCAAATAACATGTGCTATACAGTCTGAGAAAAACCAGACAATGTTGTATATTTGTATACACAGTGGTGGCATATTCTTATTTAAGGAGACTGAAAGACTTCCCAGATACTAGTCTTCTCATTTATGTAAAGTAAATAGAAGAGTCTTTCTACCACTATCTGGTAAAGCACTAGCTGATTACTTCAGAGATCAGAGAGGTCTCAGGCTCTGCTCCTGGGCCTGCAGAGGAGTCATGTGAGGCTGTCACAGCCTCAATAGAGTTGACATTAGGCTTCCTCACATCAATAATTTCCCCAAAGTGCGCTAAATACATGAAAACTAAAGTACTTTTTCTGGATTTGGGATGTGTGCTCAGACTTTCTGTCTTTCCTGCACTTTCCAGTGGGAAATGTGACTTTTGATTGTTTAAGTAAAACTAATAAATGGTGGTTAGGAGAGGCTGAGGCAAGATGCTGTTAAAAATCTGTTACAGGGAGGTGATGTGCCATATTCTGCCATTAATGACCTCAAGCTGTCAACTGAAGAGCGGTACGATGCTGACAAGTGATTTTTATTTGAAGCTTGTATGCTGTTTTCTTCATAGCACAAAGATCACAAACCGTATCAGACAGTCCTTGTCTTGGGCAGCCAGAAGCTTACTGAGCTGAGAGACTCGATTTCCTGCGTCAGTGACCTCCAGATAGGTGGTGAGTTCAGCAGTCAGCCAGATCAAGCACCAGAGCACATCAGCAAGGTAAAATCTTCTATGTGGGACCCTATACATGTGTAGGAGCTTTGAAAACATACAGAAGAGAGGGAGACAGAGTTCTGTTTTGTTGTTTTTTCTTCAGCACTAAATTCAGCTGCATAGGTTCTGCCTGTGGGTTGCATTGCCGGTAAATACTTCCCGGTGGCATAACTAAGCTGACCTGTTTTGTGTGGTGTCATGAAACACATAATTCATGGCAAGGCTGCAAAGTAGTAACAATAGCAGTGAGTTCTCGCATGGTTGTATCCCTGTAGACTAACTACTTTGAGAAACACCAGAAGTAACGGAAAGCTAAGTGTAGACCATCCCCTTTGGAATTTAAATGCTTTGGTGTTTGCAGCTGATCCGAAGTAGGAATGAAGATTATTCCTCTCTCCCACAATTGCCAGGTGTTCTCTGGGGATTTGCAAAAAGGGTCAATAAAGTACTCTAATTGAAAATACTGAAACTGCATTGTTTTGATACTATATTATATCACATATAAGATATATATCATATCACAGACTGGGTGAGGTTGGAGGGAGGACCTCTGGAGGTCAGCTATTCCAACCCCCCTTGCTCAAGCAAGCCACCTACAGCCAATTGTCCAAGACTGTGTCCAAATAGCTTTTGGATATCTCCAAGGCTAGAGATTCCACAACCTCCCTGGGCAGTCTGTGCCAGTGCTTGGTCACCCTCACAATGAAAAGTGTTTCCTGATGTTCAGAGGGAACCTCCTGTGTGTTGCTTGTGCGCATTGCCTTTTGTCCTGTCACTGAGCACCGCTGAAGACAGCCTGGCTCCATCACCTTTGCATCCTTCCTAGAAGTATTTGTATATGTTAGTAAGTTCCCCCCTGAAGCTTTTCCTTTCCAGGCTGACCAGTCACAGCTCTCTCAGCCTCTCTTCATAGGAGAGATGCTCCAGTCCTTTGTCTTCACAGCTGCTGTGGAACTCTTTCCAGTATGTCCATGTCTGTCTTGTACTGAGGAGCCCGGAACTGGACATAGGACTCCAGGTGCAGCCTCACTAATGCTGGGTAGAAGGGAAGAATCACCTCCCTCAACCAGCTGGCAATACTTTGCCTAATGCAGCACAGGATGTTTGTCTTCACAGCTGCTGTGGAACTCTTTCCAGTATGTCCATGTCTGTCTTGTACTGAGGAGCCCGGAACTGGACATAGGACTCCAGGTGCAGCCTCACTAATGCTGGGTAGAAGGGAAGAATCACCTCCCTCAACCAGCTGGCAATACTTTGCCTAATGCAGCCCAGGATGTCCTTTGCCTTCTTTGCTGCAAGGGCGCATTGCTGGCTGATGGTCAACTTGGTGTCCACCAGGACCCCCACCTCCTTTTCTGCCAGGCTGTTTTCTAGCTGAGCCCCCCCCGGCATTTATTGGTGTATGTGGTTGTTCCTCCCCAGGTGCAGGACCTTCTCTTTGTTGAACTTCATGAAGTTCTTGTTCGCCCAGTTTCAGCCTGTCGAGGTCCTTCTGGGTGTTAGCACAATTATCTGGTATATCAGCCACTTGTCCCAGTTTGTGTCAGCAGCAAACCTGGTGAGGGTACTCTGCCTCATCATCTAGATCATTAATGAAGATGTTAAACAGAACTGGACTGTGTATTGACCTCTGGAGTACTCTGCTCATTACTGGCCTCCAACTAGACTTTGTTCCACTGACTATCACCCTTAAGGCCCAGCTGTTCTGCCAATATTATATATTGATAATTTATATTATCAATATAATAGAAATCAAATAACATGTGCTATACAGTCTGAGAAAAACCAGACAATGTTGTATATTTGTATACACAGTGGTGGCATATTCTTATTTAAGGAGACTGAAAGACTTCCCAGATACTAGTCTTCTCATTTATGTAAAGTAAATAGAAGAGTCTTTCTACCACTATCTGGTAAAGCACTAGCTGATTACTTCAGAGATCAGAGAGGTCTCAGGCTCTGCTCCTGGGCCTGCAGAGGAGTCATGTGAGGCTGTCACAGCCTCAATAGAGTTGACATTAGGCTTCCTCACATCAATAATTTCCCCAAAGTGCGTGCATGTCACCATGCCTAGTCTCTCAGCAGGAGCTGTTAATGATTGGTGTGCATTCATTCCATTTGTTTGTTTTCCTCAGGCATGATTGTGAATTTACACTCATGTATAGGCTTAGTGGTGAGTCTTCACAATAAAATTTGGATGTTGCTTCAGCAGACAGGTGGAGTAGAATTTTCTTCCTTTGAGTCTAGGAAGAGAGCAGCACCATGACCTGCAAGATGTATGTTAGCTTTTCCTAATAGGGAAAGTAACTTCTGGCAAATTTAAGGATCTTAGAGACTGATTGAAATCAGAATGGTGCCCTGACATTCTGCAGGAAAGAGGCTGTGTAAGTTAGCTGTTGATGCCAGCTTTCACTTCAAGAGAAGAGCAGTTTGAGTACACAGACTGAGTGAAAGGATCAAGTTGCTGCTCTCGTTGGTTAAGTAAACATGTGTAGCTTGTCAGATGATACAGAGAGAGTAAGAGAGACTTTTTGGATATTATTGGGATAAATTGGCCTGACTTCTATTTCGTTCCTGGTGCTTTTGGGTTTTGTGGTTTTATTCTTTGCTTTTTCTTCATTGGGCAGTAATAAATGGGATGAAATTTAACAAGTGAAAATGCAGGATTCTGCACCTAGGATGGAATAACGCCAGGGACAAGTATATACTGGGAGAGGAGTGGCTGGAAAGCAGTCCTACAGAAAGGGATCTGGGGTGCTGGTTGACTTGAAGCTCAATGGCAGTCAGCAAACCACATCCTGGGGTGCATCAAACACATCACAACCAGCCAGTCAGAGGATGGGATTATCCACCTGTGTTCAGCATTGGTGCGGCCTCACCTTGAGTACTGTGTGTAGTTCTAGACCTCTGGGCCCCACAGTTTAAGACAACTCTCTTGACCAGCTAGTGATGCTGTGCTTAATGCACCCTTGGACACACCTGGCCCTTTTGTCTGTCAGGGCACACTGTTGACTCATATTCAACTTGCCATCAACCAGAACCCCCAGGTCTCTTTCCTTGGGTTTGCTCTCCGGCCTCTCATCCCCCATTTCGTCAATATACAATATGTCTCTAATTTTCATTTTTCTCTTAATATAATTTAGATACCTAAAGTGCTTGTTTTTTGAAATGTTCTTGTTTAAGGTGTTTAATCCCTCATAACACTAATACAGACTTATCTGTCTCTCTCTCTCAGGATCTCTACAAATCTGCTTTCTTTTACTTTGAGGGCATCTTTTACAATGATAGAAGATATGCAGAGTGCAGAGATCTGAGCAGGTACAGTATTTGTAGACATTCAGTAAGGAAAACCTTAAGAGTCAGGAAATTTATTTCATTTTGCTTATGATTTGTGGTGTTTTAAAGACTGGAATGTCTAGTGTACAACACCAGAATCGACTTTTTGTACCATCTTTTCATGTTGAATTGATTTTTACATAGAAGTTTAAATTTACTTGCTTTACTTATTCCTTCCACTCAGTTTCCTTCTGAAAAGGGGATGAATACATTTTTCCCTGCAAATCCCATTTTTCTCTGTTGGGATGGGATTGTTGTGGAAGGTGCCGGGTGCCAGTATGTACTGGTTTTTAAGTGCCCTCCCTAGTTGTGATGACCACCAAAAGACTTGTCTGTGAGGTAGAAGATGGGTCAGAAAGACAACAAGCTCAGCTGTGTAGATGTCAGTTGTACTGCTCAGTCTTGAAAATATGCTGAATGCCGTCATGGGAAGTCAACAAAGGGACTATGTGGCTGTTGGAAAAAGAAATCTGAGATGACATTGCCAAGAGTCTCAGGTGTCTCTTGTTTGAAACTGTAGGTCACACTGGCTGAGCACAAGTCATATCCATTTAAAATACACATAGTAGTGTATTTTATAGAAGCATGGACTTGCTGACACACTAGTGAGATTCAGGAGATCAAGATGTTAAAATGGATAGTATGGAAGAGCTTTGAATTCAGACTCTGTTGTTATCCTAGACTTGGTGTGTGACTTCAGAGAAATTAATTATTTTGTTCATTCTCCTTCTGTCTGTGAGCAAGAATAATGTTCATGGGAAGGGCTTCCATATGCAGCTTGTAGAAATGAAATGCCTTGTATGTAGGAGTGTGCTGAAAAGCCAAGAATTAATTGCAGCAGTTGCCAGTGCCCTTCCAGTACTAAATTATGGAAATGTAACTGTGCAATTGTCATCTTTGCGTTTCTCTTTGGCACAAACAAAAAAAGCTTTTTAATACTCTAAAACAAAGTTATTGACCAAGGGAGCAGAAATGACCCGCTGATAACTTGAATTACTAAAATACTGATTTTCTTCTTTTTAACTGTATCCCATTGAAGAGTTTTGCATGTGCCGCAAGGCCTTCCTTTTCTGTGCATTCAGTTTTTAGCACTGCTATACTGATGACCTTTCTGTTTTCAGAACAATTATTGAGTGGTCAGAATCTCATGACAGAGGCTATGGAAATCTTCAGTCAGTTAAAATGGAGGACTACACTTTTAATGATTTGTCCCTCAAAATTGGCTTTCCATACCTTTTCTGCCACCAAGGGAACTGCGAGCACATCATTATCATCACAGATATAAGGTAAGTTACTGCTCTTGCAAGAAAGTAATCTCCGTTGCATTTTTATTTTTTTTTTAATGATTTGTCTGCATAAAAAGACTGCTTTCTAATTAGTATGGCATGACTGTTGTATGTGAGGAACGGCACCCACAGTGCACGGCTCTTTCTGTGTGGAGACGGTGTGTGGTAGGTTGACATACTGATTCTGGAGCACCAGGGAGCAGAACAGTGCTTCTGGCTGGAGTCAACTGGACTTTTTGTTTTGGACTTGGTGCTGAGGGGTAGAAACTGAAAAGAGGTACAGAGGAGTGGAAATAGTGGGCTGGGATGGACAGGGAAGGAAAAGGAGGAGGAGGTGATGGTGGCTGTGAGGTGGCAGCCACGTCAACAGTGGAACTATTGTGTATACTCTGCTCAGTGCACTCCTCTAGTTGTAGTGGGTGACAGATCATTTTCAGTTCCCAGAAGACTGATGTACCTAAGCATTGTTAATAAATGGTGCCTCCCAAGAGGAATACAACCCAAAGAAGGGCATAGAACTTGCAAGTAGATAATCTCAGGATAATAAGCCTCTAAACATTCACCTGGTGATGTTTTTGCCTGTTAGTCTATGTAGGAGATAAAAGCTTTGAAAAGACCATGTGAAGCAGGTGGTCTGAAAACTTCTGAGTTACTACACAAACTGAATTTACTCCTGACCATAAAATCCACGGATGGTGCAACTAGCAGTCTAACTCCAGGTCTTCCATCTGTGTTAAGAAATGCTAAGCAAAAGTCTAGTCATAGTTTACACAGGAATTTAAATCATGCTTTATCTTCAGTGTCCGTGTTTATGTTCAGATAAATTCCAACGTGGCTGAGTCTTTATTGTATTTTATGTATTTATTTATTTCCCTCAAGGCTCATTCATCATGATGACTGCCTGGACAGGAACCTCTATCCCTTGCTAATCAAGAAACACTGGTTATCTACCAGAAAATGCTTTGTGTGCAAAATGTATACAGCCAGGTAACGCTACATTCTTGATCCTTTTAAGTTGGCTTCTTAAGTAAGTCTTTGTAGGTGCTGCTGCTGAGTTTAAAAAAAAAATAATATCAAAGATCTGTATGCATTTGATAAGGTGTGTGAACAATCTTCATTCAAATATTCTGAAATCTTACCCTTCAGGCAGTTGTCCTCTGTCTTCCAAGGAAAAGGCCTCCTTCAGGTAGCATTCATATGGAAATGATAATTCAGGATGATCAAAATAACTGAAATGATGAAGAGGTTAATTATTTGGCTTCAGTTCTTTTGCATACATAGAGTTTGGGTCTCAATCAATTACTTTTGAAAATGTTACTTCTGGGGGGAAATGCTGCATTTTTCCCCTATGACAAGACATGATTCAAATTCATTTGCCAGAAGTTGTACAGAGCTTTCACTAAATCCAGCATTTAAGAAGAGGGAAGTATGGATCGGCTCAACTTTAATTTAGTAAAATCTAGAAATTTTTAAAAAGACATGTAGATTTCTCCACAAGTAAACTCATAACCTCTACCTGAAAACTTTGTGCTTTGCAGCTGTACTTGAAGGAACTTTTTGTGATGCACAGATTTGCTGCAGTTAAGAGAGCAGAACGTGGATTCAGTGCTCTTTATTACACAGTTTAGTGCTGTTTACTTGGACATGAGAAAGCCTTTCAGTAGACATAGTAGAAATTTCTCTAAAGGGATTCTGCAGGCTAGGCTAGGCTCCCTGATTTTATAGGTCTGAATGATTTATTTACGAAAATACCCACTGCCCTTTTTTCCCCCCAAGCACAGCTTACACTCAGCCTCAATTTGGCACAGCAGCTGTGTCCTTGTTATCTTGCTCGTTTGGCCTTAGACTTCCCTGGAATTGGGCAAGGAGCCAATTCTGCTTGTGGTGGGAGCCCATCCTAGTGCTCCTAGGAGAGCCCCTAGGATGCCTTCACAAGTGACTGTAATCTGTGAGGCATAAGGGGAGGTGGAGCCAAAGGGTCAATATGGGGGAAAGATGGGATGGGGAGGGCATTACCAGAGGTGATGTAAATGCATTAAATTAAAACCAGGATTAAGCACTAAGCTTAAATGGGGAGATGCTAAACCATGGATAGCTGAACTGCTTTGCCTGGCTGTCCTGCATGTTCTAATCTGTGCCAATAGTATCTTTAATCACTAGAGGCCTTGAGCTGACATGGCCTCTTGAGTGCTACCATCATTTAATTGCTTGTTGACATGGCAGGCCCTCTTTGTACTAGCAGCTGTATTCATGTTAATTTCAGTGCTTGTTGGAGTAAGCAGCAATCCTCTCCTTGTCTTGTCTGCATCATCCAGGCCCTTCTTTTAGACTTGTAAATGGATTTGGGTATTACTCAGAGTAGTTTGGGTCAGTCACGTGTCTGCTTTATATCATGCTTTTGTATCTTCAGGGAAAATGAGATTTATCTTTTATGACTTAAAATGGCCATATGGAAGACAGAGGATTCCTGTTAATTTTTTTTTAGTTTTTTCTTGTAGCGCACTGTACCTGCTACACAGGTTTGAGGAGTTCCTCAGGAAATCCTGCTGTAGCAATGTAAGATAGCAGCTGGGATTGACATGGAATGGATGTGGAGTTTGGAAAAGTGTTGTATGCCTGGGGTAGGAGATATGCAATAGAGGTAGTACCTGGTCAGTATAACATTAATACTGATGTTTATTGCTGTCATCCCCAGCTCTAAGTAGAATGTTGAGATATTTGTCACAAATGTGTTGGACTCACATGGAGAACACTTGTATTTTGTAACCCGCAGGTGGGTAACCAACGATGACAGTCTGGCACCAGAGGATCCTTGTTTCTTCTGTGATATTTGTTTTCGGATGCTCCATTATGATGCAGAAGGCAAGAAACTAGGGGAGTTTCTTGCATATCCTTATGTTGATCCTGGGATTTTCAACTGAAACTGACATGAGCCAGAACGATTCCAGTGAACTGTGTTGGTGAACCTGTTGCTCTGGCTGTTAAACCCACCAGACAGCTTGGGTTCTGAGCCTACCGGTGGGTTTTGGGTTAGGCTTTTAATCCTCTCTCCTGAGGTGGAAGGAGCCCTTGGAAATTATGCCATCTTGTTTGGTGGCACCTCACACTGTATTCTAAGGCGGCAATCGGTGGGATTTTTATGTGTGGCAGGTGGGTTTCTTTCTTCAGCACGAGGGAGAAGGGAGTGGCCAAAATGTGAATGTATTCTTTCATTAAACTAATTCTGCCTCCGTATGCTATCCTTCATCCATTGCTTCTTTCCAGTAAAAAGTTATGGTTAAATATATTTCAAAATTGCTGTCCCTGCAGATTAAGAAATTTTGCAAGGGTTAGTCCCATACTTCCAATAAGGCAAAGAGAATCTGGCCACGATCCGTGTGTGGGATTTGAGCGCATTGTGCACGTAACTACCAAACGGGGAACGTGTATTAGAAGCTGCTGTTTGTGTGTTCGGGCCCTGGTTCATATTGAATGATTGAACTTAAATGACAAATGCAAAAAAAAGGTTACACTAAAATATAGTTTTTAAATATACTGTACAATCCAGGAGCTGTCACAGGACAGCTGGGTCTGGTCTTGATTTAACGTGTCTTTCTGAATGAGTCCTCTGAGTGGAATCCAGCAGTGCACCCAGCTGCCTGTTTGTAGTCAAATTTCTATGTCACCAGCTGGATATTTGTGTTTTGGCTACTTGTTAAATGCTGTTAGTGTTTCCGTGATCAAAACTTCTAAGCAGGTTTATTACTGCATGATGGAAAATGACAAAATTATTTTTTTACTAATCTCTGTGTGTTTGGTATTTATGTCTTTTTTCTTTCTTTTTTAAAGCAAGAAAATCAGCAATTTTTTCTTACAAATCCTTTGTTAAAATAATTTGGATATAAGGGCATGGAACTTGGAGATGATTCGAGTTATATTTAAATGAAAATTTAAGGGTCCTGCCTGCTGACTGGTGAAGACTTGTGTCCGTACCTACCTTGGGGAGCCAAAAGGCTGGAGTATTAAAAGCTGCAGTTGAATCTGTTGGATCCAAAAAACATTAACCTGGATCTGTGATTGGCTTTTTGCTTTGATCTTTTTTAAATGCATAGTGATTTGGCCAGTATCTTCTGTAACTTATTTCAGACTTCCAGAGGGTCTTGGAGATTCTCTCCCTACTGAAAAGCTTTTGCCTGGCTGACAAGACGTCGACCAGTTGATCGACAGTCGATCTGTTTCTTGTGTTGAGGAAGAGGGGAGGCCTCTCTGATTTTACTGTTGGTGTAAAGTTCCAAAGCAAAATGTGATTCATCCAGGCAATGTCAGTTTCCACTGCTAACTGGGCACGTGTGGCATTATCACAGCAGTCCTCCGTGCACTTGAATGATGAGCAACTCAGCAGGGCTGCACAGTATTTTAAGCTGTAGTGACACTGACTCGAAGTAGGAATGCTCATGTCAAAGCTAGCCCTGCTCTAAATTTTGTGCATTAACTGGGGTTTGTTCCTTGCTGCAGAAAGAATCAGCCTTAGTCCTTGGGAGACTTAAGTTTGACTGCCTAGCCAGTTGTCAGCTCTTAGGAAAATGCAGCTTGTGGACACTCCTGTGTCTGGGAAAGTGGCATGACCATTTCTACGGTCAGTGAGATCCTGTGAATTTGGGTTATTTCTGGTTTGTAAATGGGCAGTAAACTCAGGCAGTAAAAGCCCAAGCAGCGGAATGGCTACAGTATGATTTCAGAGTCTTGCAGCATATAACCAGGAGCTTCATCTCTACATCCATCTCACTTAATCCTTTGAAGTAGTGGCACGGTTGACCCATTATCTCTAAAACAGGTGCGACAGACGGACATGTGTTAGCTCATCAACACTTGTGTAAAGACAAGGTGGACTTGATGTACCTGCTAAATACACAGTACCTCTTTGTTTGGTAAAAGGGGTTTTGATACAAAGGAATGGTCAAAATCTGGAAGTGCCTGTGTGAGAATTCCCATTTATTTGAGTTAGTATCTTGACAGAAACACTTTTGGGGGTGAAAGTGCAACTTGTTTTAGTTTCCTAAGGCCATAAAATACACTTCATGACTAGCTATATGCAAAATCCAGCGCACAGTACCTACTCGTATTTGGAAGCCGAGTGAGAATGCTGCAGTGTGATGCTCTAGCTGTACAGCCCTGTTTGTTAGTCTCTCCCCTTACCAGCAGTCTGCTGTGAAACACTAGAGATGGCTGAAGCTCAGGCTCTGTAGAGGCCAAACATCATGGCCATCTGCTGAGGACAGCTTCATCCTGGGAGCTATCATGGCTATAGATCTTCCAGGTTTAACTTGAGGTACCGTCTTTAAGATCTGAAAGCTATTCAGTTTTGGTATATAAACACCTTCTGTTTCATTACAGAAGTACATACTCATTATGCACATGAAAAGCTTCATAAGCAATTGTAGTGTGTCGTCACTACTTGCATGTTTTTACTGTCCTGAAGGAGGTGGCTGTATTCAAAATCTTAACTAAATCGCTCCAAACAAACTTCTTTCCATGCCGAGTTTTCACTTCCAGTAATCACATGATTTGTGAATACAGGCTGCAATATTTAATCATTAACCTTTCTGAATGCCTGTACTTCAATTTCCCAAGGCAGCCAGTGTGTTACTACAAAGTGCTACTGTAACTGAGTGCCACTCTGTTTTGTGCAAGAAGTCATTTATGAGCGTGTAGCTCTCAGAAGCAACATGCAGGCTTCCCCCAGGCACTCTTCACATCTCTTCCCCCTTTGACTAATACAGCTGTGAAGAGAGAATAGTGAGTTCTAGGCTGCTTGCAGCTTGGGGCAGGAAGGTAGAGTGCAGATAGTCCCATTTTGCAAACATGCACAAATCATGTTTTTTGTTAATATCGATAGAGATGCATGCATGCGCCTCTACCCATTGACATAGATGGTGGCAGAGTAATAAGGAATGGTAAAAAACATTCCCCCAGATGGATTCTGGCAAAGTTACATTAAAAAAAAAATACCTAGTGCAAACTAGCAAAGTGGCTGAACTAAAAAGCAGTTTTGAACACAATAAACATAATACTGCTTGTGCAATGAGTATCAGATACTAGAGTTCTGATTTCAGGCTTTTCATGCTTTTTTCTGTGTCACCAGTGAGGATTTTTTTGTTGCCATCTAAACCATGGAGAGGAAGAGAAGGGGAGGTTAGGGCTATGATCCTAAAACTGTTAATGCAGTTTACTGTTCTAGTCAGGAAGAAGGAAAAAAAAAAAAAAAAACAAGCAAAAACGCAGTCCTCAGGGCGGGAAAAAAACTTCAATCTCTTCAGAATTAGGAAATGGAGAATAAGGAGTTACGTCATAGTAGTGCATGATTTCAGTGAAAAAAAAAACAAACCAAAAAACTACCCAAACAAACCAGAAGCATTGTTCTCAAGATAAATAATCACTTTCAGATTCTGTGAAACAGGGAAGTTTGAAAGTAGTGCTGAAGTTACTGACCTTCACCTGGCCAAGACATACCGAGTGTTGAAGTTGTTTTTTCCTGTTACTGAAGATCTGGCTGCTTGGCACTACTGTAAGAGCAGAAGTGCAAACAGAAGTGAAGATTGTACCAAGTTTCTGAACTTGAAATGGGGAAAAGCTGTTTTATATATGAGAAATCCCTTTTCTCTGTACTATCCTGGGTAAGAACAAAAGATGAACAAACCCCCCAGTGGGGCTGACTGAAGAAGGCATGGCAGACATTTACAAGGAATCAACACATGGAATAATTTGACTTCTTAGTATTTGATACCATACTGTTTTGGTCATGCTGCAATACTGAAAAGATTTACTTGTTGAATGGTTTGAGTTAAAGCTTCAGAAGTATTGGTCTCCACCAGGCCGTAATCATGTGTTTCTGGTCCTGCCTTGAGGGTGACAAAATACAAGGTGATATGTACACCAGGAACACTGTCATCTTCACAGTCACAATCCCCCTAACAAGATTCTTAGGACTATTAAATTCTAATTTCTAACCCAACTGGCCTCTGTCAAATACCATTTTCCAGTCACACATGTTGTTCCCAGTTCTGATATCAGGCAAAGTGTGTGTTTTAAGAAAGATTTTTCAGAGGGGCTTGTACCTGTTTCATTCCCTTTCATGCCTTTAGGAACTCTTCTTAAAATACTTTACCAGTGTTTCTGTTAAAATTCAAGTTAGAAATCCCCAAGTTCATGCCAGGGCAATAAAATGAAAATAATACTGAAATCAGACACTTGTTCCTATGAATGATTTCGTGTACGTAAGTTAGTATTAAAAACCAGTCTCTCTTTATAATTTTAAAGTCTTTAATTTCAGAAATTTTTCAAGACAGTGTTTTCCAACCAGGATGCATAACAGGTTCTGTGAAAACACCACATTTCTTTCTAGTATACTTATTATACCAAAAAGCATACCGTAAAGTCACATTGCAGTAAATTGGCACAATGAGTTTTGCAAGAACAGAACTAAACTTGTTTAGAAAAAAGTGATTAAGTATACTCGTACATTAACATTTTAACAGCTATAAAAATGCCGCTTCCAACTCCTACAAAACACAGTGAAAAGACATCCCCACAAGAGTTGAAAAACTATGCACAAACAGAGGTCAGTATCATAGGAAGAGAGTGAGTTTTATACAAATGAAGCAATTGGGCGGTTTAAAGTATTTACACTTTTTCCTGCTATTAGCTAGACAAACATACAGTAGTCAGGTAAAAATATACTACAACTTTAAGTCCTGTAACATGTAAGCATTTGTTTTCTAGATGGAATTTTCATATTTTGAAATGTGTTACCTGTTAATACTGGACAAAACTATTGGCAAAAGTGTTTAAATACTTTTAAACCAAGATTAAAAGGGCTCTTATTCCACAAAATTTAACTTCAAAATACTATGCTTATAAAATTATTTAAAACTTTCAGCAGTCTATAGATTTCAAATGCAAAACTTAACAATCCTCTTTAATTTGTATTTTTTAAAAAAAGAATCCAGCGGTGTCATTTGCTTTCAAAGGCAGAAAAAAAAATTACCTAGTGCAAACTAGCAAAGAAGGATGACTAAAAAGCAGTTTTGAACACAATAAACATAATACTGCTTGTGCAATGAGTATCAGATACTAGAGTTCTGATTTCAGGCTTTTCATGCTTTTTTCTGTGTCACCAGTGAGGATTTTTTTGTTGCCATCTAAACCATGGAGAGGAAGAGAAGGGGAGGTTAGGGCTATGATCCTAAAACTGTTAATGCAGTTTACTGTTCTAGTCAGGAAGAAGGAAAAAAAAAAAAAAAAACCAGCAAAAACGCAGTCCTCAGGGCGGGAAAAAAACTTCAATCTCTTCAGAATTAGGAAATGGAGAATAAGGAGTTACGTCATAGTAGTGCATGATTTCAGTGAAAAAAAAAACAAACCAAAAAACTACCCAAACAAACCAGAAGCATTGTTCTCAAGATAAATAATCACTTTCAGATTCTGTGAAACAGGGAAGTTTGAAAGTAGTGCTGAAGTTACTGACCTTCACCTGGCCAAGACATACCGAGTGTTGAAGTTGTTTTTTCCTGTTACTGAAGATCTGGCTGCTTGGCACTACTGTAAGAGCAGAAGTGCAAACAGAAGTGAAGATTGTACCAAGTTTCTGAACTTGAAATGGGGAAAAGCTGTTTTATATATGAGAAATCCCTTTTCTCTGTACTATCCTGGGTAAGAACAAAAGATGAACAAACCCCCCAGTGGGGCTGACTGAAGAAGGCATGGCAGACATTTACAAGGAATCAACACATGGAATAATTTGACT